GGAATACAGCCAGTCCCCAGGTTACAACTTGTACTTGCTCTTTAATGTTATGTAAATTTGCTCTCACTTTGAAACAGTTGAATCAACCCCTACTCACAACAAATTCTTACCGATCACCTTCACTTACTCCACATGCAGCTTTTAAATCATTGAAAAGGCTTTGAGCCTTTTCTTGCACTAAAGTACATGTAAGGCCAAATAAGAATTGTATGCACCTGTTCCAACTTACCTAAAAAAATCGACTTGAAGACACAGGAACGGATCTTGTTTGTAACCCAGGGACTGCCGGTATACACAGCAAAACATACACCAATTCAGCAGTTTCTACGTGTACAGTTTAGTGACACTGATTACATTCTTTGAGTTGTGCAACCATTCTCACCTTCCTTTTCTGAGTTGTTTCTCCCTCATTAACATAAACTCACTGTGCCCTGAGGTTCCTAGCTAATCTTTCGAGTTGGTGTTGTCAATTTGATCCCATATAGATAGTTCTAGAAGAGCATAACGTTCAAAGCAGACCTTTTTTACTAGTTAAGCTAAGCTGTTGTTTAGCTTTAAGAAGACTTCAGGGGATATTTTAGGTTTAAAGTTTAAAGATTATCTCAGGGCAATTTACTGTTTAGTTTTAATATTAAGGGCTGTTTTTAGGTTCATCCCCCATTTTTTTCCCTTTCTTGTGTTTTTCAAAATTAACAGAAAGATATTGCTCCTGTAACAAGTTATCTATAAATAAATTATTTTTCTTGAAGTCATAGCTATATTATTGGGAAACTGGGTAAGAGAATTTAGATTTGTATAAATCTATTGCCATTAACAGTGGAGCCCTGGTGGCACAGTGGCTAAGTGTTTGGCTGCTAACCAAAAAGTCAGCAGTTCAAATCCACCAGCTGCTCCTTGGAAACACTGTGGGGCTGTTCTACTCTGTCCTATAGGGTCACTGTGAATCGGAATCGACTTGATGGCAGTGGGTTTGGTTTGGTTTTTGGTTATTGCCATTAACATAAAATAGTCGATAGCTTACATGATTACATGAGGATGGAACATAATATTATTTTATATGGAAGTCCATTTTATTTGAATTTGAAATGTCACAATATCACAATTTGAGTAAAGACTTGCTATGAGCTTTTTGGTTTTTAATTATTTGCATTTTATCGTGGAGGAAACTCTTGCCTTTCATGCTTTCTTTGTCTTTGCATATTACTTCATTTTTATTCCTTTACTCTCATTGTGGTAGTGTTTTGGGCAAGCGAGGAAACAAAAACCTGTGGTTGATCAACCATGTTTAATGAAAGTTATTTGTTTCTTTAGAACTAATTTTAATAATTCATCATTGCTTATAAAGTATATGAAAATATCTGATGGCAAGAACTATATATATGTAAATATATATATATATAAATTTGTCACAATATGGGTCCACCATGTTCATTACTATTAGTAAGAAATTGGTACTACTTCAAGGTAAAAGGAGACTGATGTATTTAATAAAGAAAGGGTATAATAGCAGAGCAGTTAAAAGCATAGGGCTGGACTCCTGCTTCTGGTTATAAAAGAGTAGCTGGTATTAGACTAACCTCCCCCAAGAACAACTCTAAAAGCTGGAGGAAAAAACATTATTGTTTGAGGGACCCAGATCCAGGAGATAGAGAAGACTGCCTACACTTTAAGAAGAGCTTGATCTTCTATGGTACAGTTCTCTTTAAGGCATTTGCTGACTCCTAAACAGCACACATGCAGGATGAGACACTGAGATATTACGCAGAAAGTAGCTGCTAAGTGGCTAAAAAGCTAAGCAGAGATCTTGGCAGTCTCATGGGAACAGAGGGACAAAAATTGAAGTTGAGGGCCAACCAAGAAGGTAGGGCCTGGCAAAAACCACAGGCTTTCTGCTGAGATCCCAGAAAGGCTGTACCTTAGGACTACGAAGAAACAGGAAATAGACCAGCCTCAACTGGACCAAGGTATTCTGCCCTTATTCTATCTGTCTGCCAATTCTATCTGTTTGCCAGAAGAAAATGGAATCTTCTGCCGAGGAAAATATTATACAGGGACTCTACAAAATTTCATTTACAGTGTCTAGCATTCAACCAGAAATTACCAAACTTGCCAAGAAATAGGACCAAATGACTGAAAATTAAGAGAAAAAGCAGACAGTATAAACTAACCCACAGGTTATCTAGACATTGGATTTATTGGACACAGACTTTGGAAAATTAGATGAAAATTTAGATGAGAGTTTCATCAGAGAACTGGAATCTTCAGAAGAGAACCAAATGGAAATAATAGAACTGAAAAAACATAACAACTGAAGTTAAGAATTTAATAGATTGTTTTAACAACAGATTAGATATAGCAGAAGAAAAAAAATAGTGAACTGGAAGATCAGTTGAAAGTATCCTGATTAAAACACAGAGAGAGAAAAGTTTGGAAAATATAGACAAGAATGTGAGTTGAGAGGCACATGGGATTCATTGAAAAGATCTCACAGCTAATGTAATTGGAGTCCCAGCAAGTGTAATATGGAGTCCTTCGGTGTTTCAAATGGTTAAACATTCGACTACTACCTGAAAGGTTGGTAGTTCAAATCCAGCCACAGGCGCGTTAGAAGATAGGCCTGGCAATCTGTTTCCAAAAGTTCACAGCCTTGAAAACCCCTTAGAGCAGTTCAACTCTATACACACGGAGTTGCCATGAGTCGAAACTGACTTGACAGCAACTATCACGGATTGAATTGTGTCCCCCCCAAAATATCTGTCAACTTGACTAGGTCATGATTCCCAGTATTGTATATGATTGTGTAATCTGATGTGATTTCCTTATGTGTTGTAAACTCTGTCACTATGATGAGGTTATACTGATGATGTCTACAAGATTAGATAGTGTCTTAATCCAATCTCTTTTGAGATATGAAAGAGAGAAGCAAGCAGAGACACATGGGAACCTCATACCACCAAGAAAGCAGTGCCGGAAGCAGAGCACATCCTTTGGACCTGAGGTTCCTGTGCAGAGAAGCTCCCAGACCAAAGGAAGACTGATGACATGGACTTTCTTCCAGAGCCAACGGAGAAAACATTCCCCTGGAGCTAATGCCCTGAATTTGGACTTGCAGACTACTGGACTATGAGAGAATAAACTTCTCTTTGTAAAGCCATCCACTTGTATTTCTGTTAGAGCAGCACCAGATGACTAAGACAGCAACTAACAACAACAACAGTATGTGTGTGTGTGTGTGTGTGTGTGTGTGTGTGTGTGTGTGTGTGTATACATGCATGCCTGGCACTTGGTATTTGTTGAATGAATGATAACTGAACAATAAAAAATCCCATCCTTGTCTTTAAGCCAAAAACCAAACCCATTGCTTTTGAGTCAATTCCAACTCATACCGACCCTATAGGACAGAGAAGAACTGCCTCATAGAGTTTCCAAGGAGCAGCTGGTAGATTTGAACGGCTGACCTTTTGGTTAGCAGCCAAATGCTTAACCACTGCACCACCAGGGCTGAAGAATTTGTAATATAATGGCAGAGCTAGGACCAATATAGACAGGTCAGGAATGCTTTCACATGGAGAAGAAAATGTCATTTCAGTTGAGATGGGGGCATGAGGGTGGAGTTGCCAGAGCCTGAAGTTAGGAATAGGGTTGATGTAAGTTTATTTGATTTGTAGAGTGGAACCCAGAAAGTAAACCAAAGATGAGGGCAATTAGGAAAGGAGGACCCAATTAGTAGTGGCAGGTATTGAAGGAGTTTTAATTTGATTCAGGAGGAATTGAGAGTCATAAATTTTGGAGAAGAGAATTATGACATGTGAGGAGAAGCTGTCTTGACTACTTTTGGAGGACTAGATTGGGAAGGGGTAAGATTATTTAATCTTGTTATAAGGTATTTAGGTCCTGAACTTTGACTATGGATATGCAAGGCAAGGAGCAGAGCTGTCTGAAGGCATAATTGGCTTTTTAAATTTTTTGGTGGAAATGTCTTCTAATAATGGGATTCTGATGCTCTCTGCAGAGACATGTTGTGTTTGCCAAGAAATACATCAGATTTTTGTCCCTGTTTTTCTAATTATTGTATTTTTTTCTTAAAAAACTCCTTAAAATAGGAAACTTTAAATATGAAAGCAGAAGACAGAATATAATGCCATCCATTTTCATCATACATCGTGGATGTTTAAACTTTTAGAACAGTCCAGTAGAATTATCAATGTACAGACTCCATTAACCAATAGTGTGTTCTGTCTCCTTCATTCCCACTCAGGTTACAGTTCATACTTTCATATAAGATTATTAATGTCAGGCACAGAAATTATAGGAAAAAATTATAGGAATAATTTTCTAAAGAACATTTTACATAATACTGGAAACTAACCACAATATTCTGCTAATATTTGGTTTTCAGAATGATTAGACTCAAATAATAGTTATTGAAATCACGGACTCACTGCTAACTAAATAACCCTAACCAAATAACCTCTTGCCGTCTACTTGATTCCGACTCATAGCTAAGCTATAGGACAGAGTAGAACTGCCCCATAGGGTTTCCAAGGCTGTAAATCTTTACGGAAGCAGACTGCCATGTCTTTCTCCCACAGAGCAGCTGATGGGTTTGAACTGCCAACCTTTTGGTTAGCAGCCGAGTGCTTAACCACTGTGCCACCAGAGCTCCTTTGTTAACTAAATACTCCCTAATAAACTCTATAAGAGCAGTGGGATTAAGTGCATTGCCTTCTTGTTTCCTTCCTCTTTAGAAGTTACATAGATTTTACCTGTTGCAATGGTTTTGAGACTTTACATGTTTTATATTTTTAAAAAATACCTTCCTTGTGACAGTGGAATGAGTCTAATTGCAGTTATTATTACAAGGTTTGTTTATGGTCAATTTCTTATTTATACCAACACCAATATTTCACGTTATATATTAGCATCAGAAAAAGCAGTTTGTATTTGCAGGGCATCTGTATATGCATATGTGTTTGATGATTTTTAAAATCATTCCCTAGGAAACATAACTTTTGAAACAATGATGGAAATTCTTCGGGATAAACCAAGTGGCATTAATATGGAAGGAGAATTCCTGACCACTGCGAGCATGGTTTCTGTTTTACCTCAAGACTCCGATCTTCCTTGCATTCACTTCTTTACAGGGACTCCTGATCCTGAGAGGTAAAGTCACAAAATACTATAAACCAGCAAGGGGTCAGGGAGTAGGGGTAGAATCATTAGTATGTTGCTGATTTTGCTAGGCTCAATTTTTGTCACATGAATAGGACAATAATTTTGGATGCACTTTCTGTTCAGGTTTTAGTCTGCCGTTTCCATATGTGCACAACAGCCATAACATCTCATTTTTTATGGGAAGAAAATGTTAATAGTTTCTTATATATAGTTATGCTACTCCCTTTTCCTCCAAATATGTTTAACATTGTCAAGAAAAGAAATTAGGTAGTTTTTAAAAATTTCAGATTCCAAACATTACAATATTAGGTGATTGATAATAATTAGTGGAAGGGGTTAAATAATGTAATTGAGCTTGATTTACATGGCTACTTGTGCACTCATATCTAGAAAATAGGTACATGTAAAAATAGCTATAGTTCAGTTAAAGCTTAAGTAGGATTCGTATAGTCTATCTTGACCACCTTAATTTAAGTGACTGGTGATTAGTGTCTTTCACAAAACTTGATGGACATTACATTTAGAAATGATTTTATATCCACTATGTCTTAGTGTTACAGTCTTTTATATTATTAAGGATATTGTCAAGAAAATGGAATGAAATCTGTGTCTCCCTAATTAATACTGCTGCTCATTTTCATCGCAAATCCTAATCCTCAGTCTAACATTGAGAATTATTTTTATCCTCTGTTATAGACTGAATTGTGTCCACCAAAAATACGTGTTGTAAATCCTAACCTTTATGCTTGTGGTTTATTACCTCATTTGGGAATGGGTTGTCTTTGTTATATTAATGAGGCAGGATTACTGTAGGGTGTGTCTTGAGTCAGTCTCTTAACAAGATATAAAAGGAGCAGATTAGGCAAGCAGAGATGGGGGAAGATAAATCCCAAGCCACATGGAGATCTCCAAGGAACCAGGAAACGGAAGCTGAAGAGACAAGGACCTTCTCCCAGAGTTGACAGAGAGCCTTCCCCTAGAGCCAGTGCCCTGAATTTGGACTTCTGGCCTCCTAAACTGTGAGAAAATAAATTTCTGTTTGTTAAAGCCATCCACTTGTGGTATTTCTGTTATAGCAACAGTTGATAACTGACACACCCTCCAAGTATGGAGTTTGCAGTAGAAACCGGCAAACTGTTATTTCACTGACATTGTTTATGTGCTAGACCCTCTGTTAGGTACATAGGAATAGAAGGCCAAATAAAACGTAGTCTTCTGCCCCAAAGGAAATCCCACTGTACCAGGGAAGACAGGTGTGACAGGAACAAATCAGTATGTAGCATCATTAACAAAAACTTCTAGCTAGAGGGAATCTTGAGAGACTTAAAATAATGCCTAGTATTTTTTATATCCCAACATGCCAATTTAATAAAGATTCTTTCTTCTAGGTCAGTTTTTAAGCCTTTCATATTTGTGCCAAATATTTCACAACTATTGGATACCAGTTCACCAACATTTGAACTTGAAGATCCAGTTAAAAAGAAGTCATGTATTAAGATTAGGCCTGACAGAAGACACCCACTCTACCAAAAACATCAACGGGCACTGGAAGTAATAGATAATGATAAGGTATGATTAGATTATATTCTTTGCTATATCATTAAGAATAGCTTAAAGTATGATTCAGTCCATATTTTATACTTTGGAATTTCAGCTTTCTTTCCTTCCTTCATATAAAAATAGGTTTAAAAATAGTTTATATGCTCCGACTATAATAAAACTGTATTATTTCTTGACTTTGCTTAAGAGTATGTTGTGACTCTTTTAGAAAAATTTGGTGTATTAAACATAATAGCTAATATTTATTGAGCACCTACTACACACCAAGAACGATGGTATTTTTATATGGATTATTTTATTTAATCTTCACAACTACTTTATGAGGTAGGTATTATTATTATTCCCATCTATTGATAAAGAATCTGAGACTAGGAGAATTTAAGTAGCTTGCTTAGTGTGTGTGTGTGTGTGTATATATATATATATATATAGTCCACATGTGAAATTATTAAATGTTTGTTAATTGACATTTTTTGTAAAGTAATGTTGGAATAAAATTTTAAAAGCTGTTACTACCTTACTTAGTCTTTATTTAATAAATATAAAGTGTTGATTGGAAACCCTGGTAGCATAGTAGTTAAGAGCTATGTCTGCTAACCAAAAGTTGGCAGTTTGAATCTACCAGGAACTCCCTGGAAACTCTATGGGGCAGTTCTACTCTGTCCTATAGGGTTGCTATGAGTCAGAATCGACTCAGTGGCAGTGGGTTTGGTTTTTGGTTTGTTAAGTGTTGATTGACAACAAAAAGTAGTGGGAAGATAATGGGATTTCAAGGAAGAAATGTCCAAAGAGTTGGGTTCTAGTCTTGGTTCTGTAAATAACTACGTCTGTGTCTTTGGAAGAGTCAGTCGTATTGATGTTTTTAATTTACATGTCTTGATTCTTAGTGAGAGTGAAAATCTTCTCCTGTTTGTTTATTGGCTGTTTGTATTTCCTCTTAAATGACTTGCCTATTCCTTTTCTTTGCCTATTTTTCAGTTGATTCTGGATTGTATTTGTTTTTTGCCTCAAACAGGCAGAAATATATGCATATGAACCCTTTGTTATATTGCAATTTTTTTCTCTCAGCTTATTGTTTGGCATCTAAGTTTCTAAAGGTACTTTTGTCAGACAAAAATTTTAGTCAATTACTATTTAGCCAACGACTATTTGCTAGTCTTTTCCCTTAAGGCATCTTGATTTCATGCTTCAAAAGTCTACCTTACCTCAAAATAAATATAACTTCTGTATTTTCTTCTAGCGTGTATGTGTGTATTTTTTTAAAACATTAGTTTTTAATATACCTGGAATTTATTTTTGTGTATGTTATGAGGTGGGGATCCTAACTTTGTTTTCCAAAGTGATATTCAATTGTTCTAATACCTTTCTAGAAAAAATCCATTTTTTCTTCACTAATATAAAATGCAGTGTTTCTTCAGAAAAAATTACATGCAATTTCATATTGAAGTCCGTGTTAAGGTTAAGAACCTTTGTCTGTGGAAGTCTTCCCCATAATGGTTCAAATTTTTAAAATTATGCCTACTTTTTAGTAACTTTTTTCTTACATACTTTTTAATCTAGATGCTGTACTCTAACTGATCACACTAAATATATCAACTGTTTAAAAATTGCTCCTTTCTGAAAGAGTCATGGACCTTTTTTTCCCCTCTTCTTAAAGCAAGGAAGAACTCATAGAGAAAATGTCTTTTCTTTTAGTTGTTCTTTTCCTTGAAAATCACTGTTATATTTCCTTTGTTTAATCTGATAATAAAAAACTGTTGCTGTCGAGTTGATTCCAACTCATAGTAACCCTATAGGACAGAACAGAACTGCCCCACAGGGTTTCCAAGGAGCGGCTGGTGGATTCGAACTGCTGACCTTTTGGTTAGCAGCCAAGCTCTTAACCACTGTGCCACCAATGCTCCAATCTGATAATATTGGTTTTAAATACAGAAGATGTAAATTCATAAAAATTTCTCAACCCTCAATTTTCAGCAACTCTCCCATACACAATTAGTATCAGACTTTAAATTGTCCTGTTATTTGTCCTTTAGGTTTCTTGCTTATAGATGAATCCTACATAATTATTCTTGCCTTTTCTACTAAGAACAATAATAACAATTTGATTTTAATACATTAATTCAATCTATAGCAATGATTTTTCCCAAAAAAGTCACTCCTTTTTATATTTAAAGAATAGGAAGAGGGGTACCAAACTAGAAGTAGAAACCAGAATGAATAAACCTTGTCTGCAGAGGTGGATTGGAAGTTGGTTAGACTTATGTATGTATGTGTGTGTTTATTTATTTATTTATTTTTAATTGTTCAGGAAAATGCCAAAACAATGTTGGATGACATGAGGAAGCTGGAGAAAGGACTATTCAAAGAGATGGAATCAATCCTTCAAAACAAATATATTAATGTGGATGAAGTTGTTAATCTCTTTTCTCGGTGTGCAAAAGATGAAATTAGAATTTATGAGGCAAATATTAATTCTTAGTGACCATATAAGTGGTCAGCAATCTTCCCTCAAAGTTAGATTCTTTTGCCTAATTTGTAAACCTAGTTTGAGCAGATCTGATTATTCTTTAGTAGCACTGAAGTGGTATCTTGACTATCAAAACTATGCAGTCTTGCTGAAATACAGGGAAAGAACACAACATTGGAATTGGATGCAGAGATCATGCAATAGTCAAGTGTTACTTCAGATAACAAATTTGTGTTTGTTTTTAGCCACAATAAGTGTTTTTTGTCCCAATAATTAAATATTCAATGTGTAAAGAATGAAGCAAAATGATGTATGGATTTATATTTATTATAATTATATAATGCCCTGAAATCATTTTCTGAAATTACATCAAAAAACAAAACAGATTCTTGGTGTAATGGAAAATATTGTCTCAGGTAGTGAGTTATGCTTTGGCAAATACTAACCAGCTCTAACAAGAACACTTTCTGGACTTACACATTGAGTCTTTGTCCTTAAACCAAACCAAAAACCAAACCCACTGCCGTCGAGTTGATTCTGACTCTTAGCAACCCTGTAGTCTGTTAATTCTGTGAATGCACTTTTACTAAACCCAAATATATGCTTTTTTTCAAGACTTGGCTGACCAGTGAGGTTTTAGCTTTAATTATCTAGCATTTGGGGGGCCATCCCCCTTATGGGCGTTTATGTTAATAAAATATTTTTAGAAGAGCTTGTCTGGGAGATTAAGAGAACCAAGACCTTAGGAGATACTGTTTGTGTCTCAAATCTCTCTCATCTTTTATTTCTGTTCACTTGGTGAAAACAGGAATAGGGAAATGGCAGTGAAATAGAATTATTAGTGTATTATGAACATTATTATAAATGAGCAACAATGTCTGCTCAAAGTTTATCAAACTTTGTTAAAATTATACAAAGACTACCAAGTAAGACTCAAAATTGTAAATATAAACAAAAAAATCTCAACTCAAAATTATGTATTTTTTGGTTTCTAGAAATGTCAATTTTTGGTATTTGATTACATTATTGGTCATTATCATTGCAGTTAGGATTATAATAAAGAAATGGGTCATTATATCTAAGAAGTGCCTAGGAAGTTATTTTTTAAATAAAAATAAAAACTATAATATGCCTGATATTGCTATTGTCTAATGCGGGGCTGCTATTATAAAGGAAAAGATGTCTAACTCAGGTACTCAGTTGATTCTGTGTTTGCCTTATGTATGGCTCAGTGATAGAGTCTTCCCTAAATCATGAAGACCCTTGCCTAACCCCATACTCCTCTTTCTTTTTTAATAGATGAGGGAACAGTTAATTGATTTATCCAGGGTCACATCGTTGAACCTCATTTTCCTCTCTAGTGTCAGCACGTTTTCAGCTTCTCTTTTGCCACCTCCCTAGACATAGCTAGCACCATCTCTCACCTGGGTTACTGCTGTAACTGTTCTCCCACACTCACTTTTGTTCTTTATCCATCCATGTGGGCTACTGCAGCCAGAGTGACCTATTAAAAATATAATCTGATCATGAACTCCCCTTCCAAAACTCTTTTAGACTCATTGTTCTTAAGATAAAGTCCCAATCCTTAACAAAAACCAACCAGACCCTCCTGATCTGCCTCTGTCTACATTTTACTGCACTTTACCTATTGTTTTTTAAGTTTCAGCTATGCTGCTCTTTCAAGCCAGTCCAGTTTCTGCTTTCATGGCTGTTCCCTCTTCTTGCACCATTCATTCCACTCCTTCCCCTTTATGTTGTTGTTGTTAGTTGCCCTCAAGTGGATTCTGACTCACGGCGATCCCATGTGTGCAGAGTAGAACTGCTCCATAGGGTTTTCAAGGCTGTGACCTTTTGGAAGCAGATTGCCAGGTCTTTTTCCTGCAGAGCTGCTGGGTGGGTTCGAACTGCCAACCTTTTGGTTAGCAGCTGAGTGCTTAATTGTTGTGCCACCAAGGCTCCTCTATGAGGATAGGAACCATATTTGTTCCCACTGTTGTGTGCCCAGTGTTTAACACTGTATCTGGCACAGAGTAGATGCTAAATATTTGTTACATGACCATTCAAGTATGAATAGATAGAATTTACACAGTCTTGTTCTCTGCTTGTAGAAATGAGCTAGACTGTACAATTTAGTAACCTTTGGTAAGTCTCAAGTCAACCTGTCACCTTTTTCCATATTCGAAATAGGAACAACTCCCAAATAAAGGCAACAATTATTATAAGGATATGTAAACTAATTTATAAAACAATTTGAAGACTTTCACTTTATAAATCCAATGTGGTATTCAAGCTTTCGGTACCTGTGTGGGTAATTAATGCCTTGTACAGTTTAGAAAATTTAATTTTTTTCTTAAATTTTGGCTGTCTTATGAGTAAAAAACATAGCTGAAATTAAGCTTTATTTTTGTCAGCCTTAAATGATGTTATTATTTACCATTATTTAATGAAGCAAGGTAATAATCTAATAAACTGAATACTTTAGAGAAAGATAGTTTGCTTGATCTTTGTTTCAAAAACAGGTCTACAGAGCAAATTTTTTTTTAAATGTTCACACTTTTACCATACTAATTGCAGAGATTTATAATCCTGTCTTTCCCTGAAGAACAGTGATACATTTATGATTCTGAAATGTTTACAACCATTACTTGTCATATGACTACCTATGCCCAGTGGTATAAAGTAATTTAATATTTTACAGGTTATGAGATACGAAGGGGCAAAAACCAAGAGCTGTGTTCTGCTGTATAGCAGACAGTTTTAAATTTTTCTTGCTTTTAGAAACTTACTGATCATTCATCATTATTCTCAAAATACTAAGCACACTTTACCTTATACTGTAAATATTGAAGGCTGAGCACAAGCTAGTCATGGAATTATTTATTGAGAACTAAGAAAATAACAATTACTGACTATGCTGAGGATTAGTGTGAAAGGGGTATGTTTTAATCAAATTGTATCATTTTCCCAGCTCTGACCTTGCATATTAAAAATTGTGACATGTCTAAAAGGGACTCTAACGTCATATTGACTCATTCATAAAAAGTATTTACTGAATGCATAATTGGGAAAGGCACTGTGCACAGATCTCAGAGTCATGAATAAAACCTTAGAAAACTCACTTACGAAAACGTTGAGAAATGATAGAAAAGACCTCTACAGTGGCTTCTGCATTATTCAGATAAAGAAAAGACATCGGCATTACGAGTTAAAATAGCTATTTTATTGAGAAACTTGCTTTGTCAGTGAGAAAGTAACAGTTACAAATATTTTCATTTAATAAAATGGGCATATCCTTAATTCTAAAAACATCTCTTAAAAGTCTTCATTATCTGAAACTGCCTATCATTCTAATCCAGTGTTTTAGTATCTCCCATGGAAAAAGATGTGGCAGATTCCTTCGTGCAAATAACAGAACATATGTGATACGACTTTTTCACAAACAAAAATTCTCCATTTGCATTTGAGTTGCCTGCATGCATGAGAATTAATATATCTCTTACTGTAACTATAAAAGTCTCCTGGAATAGCAGAGAACCGTTTAGAGTCATAATGTGGTCATGTTTTTGTTTTTGTTTTAAATTTCCTCAGCAAGACAATTCTGCTTTAAAAATCCCCAGTCCCTAATCATAATTTAAACTATAGGTTAATACTACACTAATGTATAATTGTTAAATACACTAGGCTGCCATGCAGGTTTTCTTTTTTAATTACATATTTTTGCATTAAAAGGGTAATGACACTTAGCTCATAAATTCTTTTCTATTTGGCTTTTACATATAAGATGCTAAAAGTATGAGATAAACAAATATTTGAAACATGTTTTAAATAAGTTAAAACTAGCACAGACAGGTAAAATTAAGTAGAGTTTCAAAGGTCATGCGAATGGCATCAAAATAAGGTAATTTAAGTTTTAAGTAATTTAGTCTGTCTTTAGTTCACTAAGATAAAATTTATCTAAGGCCAACATTTAATAATTTTCCAATTTATAGATTTTTATACATGGGTACTTAAAAAAGACTAAATTCTAAATGTTAACAGGATATTAAGCTTAGAATTTTAAAATCTTGGCTTGGACTATATAAATTTTTTTTTACTATTAGGAATAGGTAATACTCTTCTATACTGTTAGGCTTTGTGCAAACACTAGAAATGATACATGACAGTAATTTTGTTGATAAAATTTAAATTACTCAAATTATCATTTGTAATACAAAAGTTAAAGACTGGACTATATTTCTATTGGAAGACTATGGAGATAATAATATTTATGGAAGTTCTTATTCCCCTCTTAATGGCACAGATTGGTACTGTGGCTATAAAAGCAAGAAATGATGAACCTTAAAGAAACAGTGCTTCCATTTTTTAAGTGTACCCTTTGTCAAGAAAATGGGATAATAAGAATAAGAAGGCCTCTTATCAGAATCATTATAATTCTTTTTTAGCAAGTGCTATTAATAAGTGCAAAGTTGTCATAATTTAAGGTTCGTTACTGCCAGCAGTATAATTGCCAAATTTGGCAAATTAAAAGAATGGTTAATCGGATGTTGATTTTGAAATTACAGCAAACTGTTGCAGAAAGCAATGATTTTAAAATGTTGCATAATTAGTATTGTTTATAGTAATTATGTTCATTATCAGAACTTTAAACTTTGATTAGGTTTTTTCTTTTTTCTAAGTCAGTTTCCTACATGTTTTACATACACATAAAACTACAGAATGTTGGTGTGGGGTAGGAACACATCTCATCAAATCCCTTCATTTTACAAAAGAGGCAACTGAGGCTCAAAGAGGTTGTGACTTGCCCGAGGTCACACAGCTAATCAGTAACAGGTCTGGGGCTAGAATATGGCTCCACGTAGGTTCTCTCCTTTATAATCTAGGTTTTAGGGGAAAGTGAGGATGGGGATGGATGCTCAGTTTCTTTATCTCTCTCCTGTTGGAGGGTTCTTGCATTAGTAACAGGAGGACTCTATTCAGGATTCTTTTGAAGAAATCTGTAAAATAAGTACTCATCCCGAAATTCATATTCATTGGTAATATGTTGAATGACTCCCCCTTGCACCAGTCTGTCTCCATATATCACAGCTTCACCACGGTCAGATGCAAGGCCGACTTCAATTAGCCAGTTCACTAGGTCACAGCCACAGAAGGTCCCAGCAGAAGTCTTTGCACCACACCTGTATGTCAAAGGAATGATTCACCCATATGTTCTGTAAACCTGGTATCAGCACGCATGATGGAGGACAAGCAAGGAAACAAGGAAAGATAGCATGATAGTTAAAGCATGGTAGTTAAAATATAAAGGGTTTGTTAATTTGCCTGACTCTGGAGAGACCCACTGGAGAAAAGCAGAATTTGCCAATAATGCTTGTGAAAACAGAAAACAACAAAAAATGGCACAGATAATGTAAATGCATCTGCAAAGAACTATTCTTTTCTTTTCCTAGTAGCATTGTCTTTTATGATCCAATCTATTCTGTAAACAGCTGAATATTATATATTTTATAACTTATTATGGAGCCTTCATAGTGCAATGGTTAAGCACTTCGCTGCTAACCGAAAGGTCAGTGGTTCGAACCCACCAGGAGCTCACGGGACAAAAGACCTGGAGATCTGCTCTTGTAAAGATTAAAGCCCAGGAAACCCTACTCTGTCCTACCTATAGGGTCGCTAGGAGTAAGAATCCACTCGACGGCACACAACAACATAACTTATACTCTTGGTTATAATAAGTAATTTAATTGTCTCAGAAACATTAAAAAATATTTTTACAACCTCTTAAGAAGGGATTTTTTTGTTAATTAAACTACTCAAACCAAACTTTACACTTTCAGCTTATCATCATGCCCACAAGTAGACTTTCTTCTTGCTCTCTGAAGTCAAAACAATCATACTGATGTGTGTGTCAGGAATTTGCCTTCATTAGGAAGCAAGGAAAGAATAAGTGAGATCTGTTTTGCAGTAAGTCTAAGATTTTAAAATGTACTTTGATTATGAATCTACTTCTTGATTATTTAAAATTTGTCTTCCTGATGCAAATGTAGGGTTCCTCAGGTATGAACAAATAAGGGAAAGACAAATGCAAAAACACAATGAATTCTTCACATTTTCATACAAATATGTAATAGAAAACATGAATCTGTCCACAAGCATCAGTCAAGCTGTAAAACAAAATGCTTGACAAGAACAGTGGGTGAAGATCAAGATGAAATGAGAAATAGGTGACACAAATGTTAAAACATTTAACCATAAATGAATATACATTAGAATTTCATAAAAATTTAGAAGTTAATATACATGAAAATTTTTCTCAAATACATAAAATCACAATATTTTAAAATCAGTATTTCACTTAGTGATAATATATCCTAGTTTATGCTTGCAAACTACGAACATCACTTTCAGCAAAAGCCTGAATATTACAACCTGCATCTGAGCCTTCATCCTGCTTGTTGATTTTTAATTTATATCCCAAACCTATCCCAGGCACCAACTGAATAATATTTGTTTTCTGATGGAGCCCATGGAGTTGTACAGAGAGGCAGGGAAAGTGACGCTGTTGAGGCTGTAGAGCCTGGAAAGGGGCAGGGACAGGCCAGCACTACGACTGGTCAGTGCCCATTTGGCCATCTGGGACTGACGAAGCTTGACAGCTCGCAAAGGGCAAGAGCTGTGCTTCCTGAGAGTCAGCAATAACGATATACCTGAAGGAGACAATGTGGAGTTCCCTTTATTAATTTTAAAAAGCAGTTTAAATTGTTGAAACTATTCGTAGACAGTATTTTAAAATCATTTTGTTGGGCCCTTTAAAGGTTGCAAACTAACTTTTCTTCATAGTTTACCATGTGCCAGGAACTGTGCAAGGCCCACTACGTACAATTTGTCATCTAACAAACTTGAGAGCCAGATATTTTAAAGAGGAAAACCAAGGTTTAGAGAATTGAACTTGCCCAACATCACACAGCTAATAAGTGGCAGATCCAGGAGCTGAATTCTAGTATTAGTCCATATCCAGTGACTCCCCTTTCCACTATACCAGGCAACCTTCTGGTCACAGTGACATATATATGTTAAATACAGTGGCATAATATACGTAAATAAATCATCCTTAATGGTAATTTTCATAAATTTTCAGTCATAGACATAAAAGTATTTGGTTCTTTACGTCTGTGTTGTTTTATCTAACGACAACCAAAAAAAAAAAAAAAAAACAAAACTGGCACTATAACATTTGTTTATTCAGAGTTCATCACTTCCTGCCTGCATACTCCATACACTGAGGATTAGGAAAATAAATACAATGTCACAGACTGAAGATGAAGACTTAAGGTGAAAAATAAGCAACAGAATTGATTACAAGGAAGAAATTCTTCATTTTCTTGACAATAACGTTAGTAATATGAAATAACATACCATTAGGAGAAAAGAAAGGAGCCCTGGTGGCGCAGTGTTTAAGCGCTTGGCTGCTAACCGAAAGGTCAGCGGTTTGAACCTACCAGTGGCTCCTGGGGAAAAAAGACTTGGCAATTTGCTTCCATAAAGATTACAGCCTAGGAAACCGTATGGGGCAGTTCTACCCTGTCATATTGGGTCACTATGAGTTGAAACTGACTTGACTTAACAAAACAAAAACAAGAAATGAGGAATATAAAATCATTTCTAAAATTCAATGTATCTTAAAGTTTTGTGAGAAACAGTAATGGCCAACATGAAGTGAATGCTAATATTCTATGACATTTTGGTTCATTCTAAAGTTTTTGCATTTTAAATAGAAGTTATGTGACATTTTAAGAACATTAAAATCAGAATGATCTGGTTCTTTCATATGACGTTTCTTAAACTATAACCTGACCCATAGCTATTTTAACTTTTACCTGTACATGTTATTGAAACATGTATGTCAGTCATAATAACATTACTGTTCCGAACCAAAATTAATCATCTGATAATATAATTATCTGGAATTTGTACTGGCAATTTGCTTACCTTCTTTGCTTAACAATGTTTCGGATACAGAGGTCACGGTGGTAATGGATAAACTGTTGACAGGTCATTTTTATTTCCTCAGGAACAGGAGAATTCCTGTTTTCTGTTGTTTCTTTATTGTTCCATAGGAATTCAAGTCTAAAAAAACCAAAATTTAAGGGGGCCATTTTTAAGATGTGTAAGACCACCTTAAAACTGAGGCACCTGGCATAACTAAGCGACTGACATAGGTCTGAATAAAACTCTCCTTTTGCCCTAGATTCCATTTCTGCTTTCAGAATACACGCAGTCCCCCCACCTTGAGTGAACAAGCATGTGGTTATGCTTACTTAAGGCTACGTTAAAACTGTTCTATTCTCAGAAAAAGTGCTTGTCGACAAAGTTATAGTTATGGTTAAGCAATGATAAGACTGTTCCAGGAAGGGAATGGTGAGAATGTTTCCCCAAAAGATGTTTACCTAAGATTGTTCTCAGAAAATTGCTTACGCAGTTTGCCCCCAGAAAGCCTGTGATGGAAAACAGATGAACATATTGTGAAAGGTTTACTTGTGATTCATGTATAACCCCCAGCCCTCCCATATAAAAATCCCTCTCCCCTTTCAGACTTCAGAACACTTGATATTTTATGAACTGTTGCCCCAGCTTCAGCTGTAACAAATCCTCAGTAAAATTCTATCATTTCTCTCCTTAGAGAGTTCTTGTTATTTTACACTTTGGCATATTTGGTGTCAAAAGTGTGGGATTTTGAAGGTGCATTATCTGTCACAATCCTGAGACATCAAGGACCAGGCCCTTGTCTCCCCTTCCAGGATTTCTCGGAGTCATACTAAGGTAAAAAATCTCTTGAATTTGAGTTCTGCATTCTTTCATCAAAGTTCTTCAAGTTTTACTATAGATTTGTTTTAGTTCTTGCAAGTAAAAGTTTGTTTGTTGTGACTGTCTCAGCATGGGGTATGCTAAATCCAAGAAAACAGCGGATTTTCCTAGTGGAACTCTGGCTTGCTACATGGCCAAGAACTACAGGTCTAGGTCTTGTTTGTATTTGGATTTTTGTTTGAGCTCCCTAATGACAGTTTATTAAATCAGTGGCCACTTTGGGGTTCTCTTGGTTTACTTTTCTGCACAGTAGGTTAGAGAACCAAGACTACCAGGTTAAACAGTACTAATAGAATGCCTGTTTTGATTAGTTTGTGAACAATTTAAAGCTCATTAAACAGAAACACCAGCTACCATAGAGAATTTAAGATCCTTGTTGAAGCTTACCAGCTTTGACTCCCTGATGTATAGCAGCTACTCTACATGATAATCAAGCAGAAAGAAGTTCCTCAAATTTGAGAATGACAGATCTGATCAAGCCATAAAGAAACAAGAAGTGGAAGGCTCATGGGACTGAGAAAATTTAGACTCCCATGTAACAGCCTGGAAGGAGAAATTGCCTCTAGACTCACAGAGCATAGGGTCACGGGGACAGGAAGCAAAAATTTTGTGAGTGGGTCACTAAGGGTAATAGTGAGTGGTGCCACTCCCATTTCCACCTCTTGGTTTCTGGACCCGTGAATCCTGGCTATGAGAGAAACAGCACCATATACTGGACACTGGTTTAGAGCATATACAGCCTCCTGAAGAACATTGCCCCAACCCTGCAAAGTATTGCCACCTAGCTGGTATTGTAATTGTGTCTTTAGAAGGCCATTCCATTGTTCTATCAAGCCAGCTGCTTCAGGATGATGGGGAGCATAGTAGGACCAGTAAATTCCATGAGCATGGGCCCACTGCCACACTTTCATTTGCTGTGAAGTGAGTCCCTTGATCTGAGTTGATGCTGTGTGCGATACTATGATGGTGGATAAGGCATTCCGTGAATCCATGGATAGTAGTTTTGGCAGAAGCACTGCATGCAAGGAAGGCAAATCTGTATCCAGAGTAACTGTCTATCCCCATAAAGATGAAATGCTGCCCAGTTCATGACGGAAGTGGTCCAATGTAATCAGCCTGCCACCAGATTGCTGGGTGATCACCTTGAGGAATGCTGCCATATCGGCGACTCAGTGATGGTCTCTGTTGCTGGAAGATTGGGCATTCAGCAGTGGCTGTAGCCAAGTTAGCCTTGGTGAGTGGAAGTCCATGTTGCTGAGCCCATGCATAACCTCCATCCCTGCCACTACGACCACTTTGTTCATAAGCTCATTGGGCAATGACAGGAGTGGATGGAAAAAGAGAATGACTGGTTTCCACAGAACGCATCATCTTATCCACTTGATTGTTAAAGTCCTCCTCTGCTGAGGCCACCCTTTGGTGAGCATTCACATGAGATACAAATATCTTCACTTCTTCGGCCCATTCAGAGAGGTCTATCCAGATACCTCTTCCCCATACCTCCTTGTAACAATTTTCCAATCATGTTCCTTCCAAGTCCCCGACCATCCAGCCGAACCATTGGCAACAGCCCATGAATCAGTATACAATCACACATGTGGCCATTTCTCCTTCCAAGCATAGTGAACAACCAGCTGCACTCTCAAAGTTCTGCCCATTGGGAGGATTTCCCTTCACTACTGTCCTTCAGGGAGGTCCCAGAAAGGGGTTGCAGTGCTGCCACTGTCCACTTCTGAGTGGTGTCTGCATATCACATAGAACCATATGTAAACTAGGCATGAGTTTTTTGTTCCTCAGTCCACTGAGCAAAAGGAACTCCCCATGAGGCCATACGTGCAGACTAGGAGGGGGAAGGTAATGTGACAGGATTGGAGACCATGGACATTTGAGCCACTTCCTCATCTAACTTACTTGTGCCTTCAGGTCCTGCTTGAGCCTGATCTCGTATATACCACTTCCATTTAATGATGGAGTGCTGCTGTGCGTATCCAACTTTGACTCTGTAGGTCGGACAACACCCAGTTCATGATAGGCAGCTCAGGCCACATGGTGACTTTGTGGCCCATGGTTAGGTGTTCAGTCTCTACTAAGGTCCAGTAACAAGTAGAAAGCTGTTTCTCAAAAGGAGAGTAGTTATCTCAGATGATGGCAGGAATTTGCTCCAAAATCCTAAGGGTCTGCGCTGTGATTCACTAATGGGGCCATGCCAAAGACTCCAAACAGCATACCTCTGCCACTGACACTTCATGCACCACTGGATCAGCCAGATCATATGGCCCAAGCAGCAGAACAGCTTGCACAGCAGCCTAAACCTGTTGCAGAGCCTTCTCTTGTTCTGGGTCACACTCAAAACTAGCAGCTATTCAAGTCACTTGATAAATAGGCCAGAGTAGCACACCAAAATGAGGGATACGCTGCCTCCAAAATCCAAAGAGACCCACCAGGTGCTGTGCCTCCTTTTTAGCTGTAGGAGGGGCCAGACACAATAACTTATCCTTCACTTTAGAAGGTATATTTCATCATGCCCCACACCACTGGACCCCTAGAAATTTCACTGAGGTGGAAGGCACCTGAATTTTTGTCAGGTTAATTTCCCAGTCTCTAGCACGCAAATGTCTTACCAATAAGTCTAGAGTCATAGATAGTTCTTCCTTACTAGGTCCAATCAGCATAATGTCATCAATGTAATGGACCAGTGTGATGTCTTGTGGAAAGGAAAGGCAATCAAGATCCCTACGGACTAAATTATGACATAGGGCTGGAGAGTTGATATACCTCTGGTGTAGGACAGTGAAGTTGTATTGCTGGCCTTGCCAGCTGAAGGCAAACTGCTTCTGGTGATCCTTCAAAACCAGAATTGAGAAAAAGGCATTAGCCAGATCAATAGCTGCATACCAGGTGCCAGGAGATGTATTAATTTGCTCAAGCAGTGAAACCACATCCGGAATAGCAACTGCAATCGTAGTCACCACCTTGTTAAGTTTTTGATACTCTACTGTCATTCTCCAAGATCCATCTGTTTTTTTGCACAGGCCAAATAGGCGACTTGAATGGGGATGTGGTGGGAATCACTACCCCTGCATCCTTTAAGTTGGCAGTAATCTCTGCAATCCCTCTAGGAATGTGGTATTGTTTTTGGTTTACTATTTTCCTAGGTAGCAGCAGTTCTAATGGCTTCCACTTGGCTTTTCCTACCATAATAACCCTTACTCCACATGTCAGGGATCCAATGTGGGGGTTCTGCCAGTTGCTGAGTATGTCTATTCTAATTATGCATTCTGGAACTGGGAAAATCCCTTCAGGTTGGGTTCGGGGACCCACTGGACCCACTGTGAGATGGACCTGCACTAAGACTCCATTAATAACCTGAACTCTATATGCCCCCACTTTGACTGGTGGGCCACAGTGACATTTTGGGTCTCCTGGAATTAGTGTCAGTTCAGAGCCAGTGTGTCCAGTAATCCCTGAAAAATATGATTATTTCCTTTTCCCCAATAAATAGTCACTCTTGTAAAAAGCCGTAGATCCCTCTAGTGAAGGCTGGGAGAAAGATCAACAGTATAAATTTCTGGCAGTGCAATAAGGTCCTTACTCAAGGGGACCTGGCCTCCCCTTCATTCAATGGGTTGTGGTTCTGTAAACTCACTCAAGTCTGAGAACCGATTGAGGGGCTGTGACTGTCTATTCTGGCAATTCGAGTTAGACTGCAGTTCACTTGACCTAGAATTCTTCCGCTTGTTCAGATCAACTAAACATTTAGTAGATCTATCTATTTCACTCCTAGGGACACCATGACTAAGTAGCCAATGCCATAAGTCCATACGAGTCTTACTATTCTGATTACTGCTTTGACTCTGCTGTCCGTTATGATAACCATGCCCACCTTGTTTTTGTCGATTGAGTGCTGCCATTTGGCCCCTACCACCACAGGGTTCGATCAGCCCCACTGTAGTTAGGTGTCTTAATTCAGTTAGGACAGTTCCCACTGTCAAATCTGACTTACATAAAATAGCAATCACAGCAGACTTCAAGGATGGTGGGACCCCCTTCACAAACTAGTTCCTCACTGTTGTGGTAAAAAGTGTGTCATCTGTGCATTCCATGTGTGGGTCTGTTGGCCTAACCTGATAAACCCACTCTAACATGCCAATTTCCCTATGCCTTTGAATACTTTCTTCTACTGCATACCAAGGCAGGTCTAGCACTTCAACTTGATTTAGTGTAGGCCACTGCTTAATCCATGCTTCAGCAAACCAACTAAA